AATGTCTCTGTCTTTCATTGCAGCTGTAGACTGGGCAAGAAAGCCTTCACTGTTTTTGACCTGTGTCCTGCTGAGTTGCAAAGGGAGAACAGCTTTTGAGCATCACCAGGGATGCCGGTATTGTAGTTTTGTTAATATGGAAAAGGATATCATGGAATCAACCAATACAACGCGGTCATTGTGGGGAATGGCGGGGAACAGGGGAACCAGTTGTCTGTCTTCTAGTTTCAGGCTTGTGACCAAGAGAAATCCTCATGCGGTGCAGATAACGTAACCAGGTGTTGGAAGGGTTTTGTTTTTCCTGGAGGAACAGACCACCTGGTTTGTTCCTCCAGGTTTTGCTTTTTCCCGCTTTACAGCAACAACAAAAAAGCAAAAGACTCCGGTGGTGGCACTCCTGACTCTGTCAGGACAGGGTTCAATTCCCTGCGGTGTCTTGCTTTTTTAATTTGCTGTTTGTGGAACATTGATCCAAGGTTAGCCAAAGAATAAAGAAGTTTTGGTCCGTGTCCCATTTCATCCTTACAGATGCTGATAGCCTCTGAGATTTTCACATTGCATTTAATGCATGTAGGTACTGTGTATATAAAACCTGGAGGTTGACTAAAGCTGTGAATGGCATATCTGCCACTAAGACAGGACATTAAAGCAGACTCTGTATATGATAACTCACACTACACGTTTAAATTGGACCACCTGCATGGCCAGAAGCCATTACTTAACTCCTCAAACTGTGTTTAAACCAAACCTAGTGTGTTCAGTGACAACTCCAGTAAAGTTTGGGTCAACCAAAATTGTTACTTGAACCATTTCACTCAGTATTTCTGTTGCTGTAGATCATGACACATACAGGGGTGGTGCTGCCAGAGCTTGATTAGCCCATCCAGATATGGTTTCTAAATGTATTTTCAGTTTGTGGCCTCATTTCAGTGTATTCTCTCCAAAAAAAGTGATGTTTTTGTATGTATTCGTTGAACCAACTTTGGACCATGGATGTGCAACCCAACTCGCCAGATGGCTCCCAAATGCCTTGGATGGATATCTCGTTGGTCATTCGGGTCATAACATGGAATCCTTCGCACACACCATATTAAATGACAACTTATAAGGCCATACACCCCCCTTCCTTTCTGTTTCGGTTAAAATGTGAGAAATTGTATCAGCCTTCAGAGGCCAGCAAATTTGGCATATGGAAGTGCTGTATTTGCTTTTAAAACACTGCAGATATATTATGTAGCATGATGGTCTTTTATATTGTATTATTGTAGTAATCTGCGTCCAAAGTTTGATGATGCTTAATTATCTATACTGCTTATTCCCAAATAGGGTTGCAGGGTATCTGCAGCCAATCCCAGCTGACATTAGGCAAGAGGCAGGTGCACTGTGGTCTGGTCGGCGATCTTTCACAGGGCTGACATGTAGACAAACCACCACACTTGCTCCTATGGGAGGAAGCCACGCAGGCACAGGGAGAACATGCAAACTCCACACAAAGGCGGTGGGTCAGCCCAAGCTCAAACCTTGGAGCCTTCAACAGCTGTGCTGCCCATGCTTAATTATATTACTTTGAATTATTGCTATACTTTTGGAATGTGCTGACAAATGTACTATGCATGTCAATAAATTTATCTAGTTAAATGGTTGTGTAATTCTCTGTTCTATGGGGGCCCTGTGGTTTAAGAATCAGTGGATGCAAACATGTTACCCTATTAATATGGTCTTATGAAGCCTTGTATTATCCTTGTCAACTGAGAAGGTGAGTTCAGAGCAGTAACTTGTCTGCTGCACTGGTGTGATAAATTGTATACACTAAATATACTCTAAGCCACCAAAACTACTTCAGTGCACATGGCCACAAATGTAAACGTGTCACATCCAGGATTAACCATTCAAAGAGCACTGGACTGGAAAAAAAAAATCATACCATTTATGGTAATTTGATTTTGCAGGAATTATGTTTAAATTTAGGTAATAGAATATCTTAGAAGTAGGGCTGTGTATTGGCAAGAAGTAGGTGATGTGATCTGTGTCATACAGGGGTTACTGTTTGATATATTGCAGTACTGTAAGCAAGGCAGTATATTGCTATTTTTTTGAAATTTTTAGGAAACTTAAGCAGCACTTTATGCATAAAATCTAAATTATTTTTATGCAATCAGAACAGGGATTTGCATTTCAGTCCCTGTAACTTCCAGCAACATAGCACTATTTGGGATGTGAGCTATTTAAAAATCGAGTGTTTTTGAAAATCAATACAGTATTGGAAAATACTAGTGTCTATTTTCTTAAACCCTTATTTAGAACCCTGATAACTTCAGTTTATGTTCTACTTTAGGGGAACTGTCCAAGGAAAATTTAATTACCACAAACCATCTGACCATGTTGGTAATTCATCTCAAAATCTAAAATGCCTGTCATTCTTTATTAATAGTGACTTAAACTTCCATGTGGTGGGCAAGGGTTTGTGTGCAGAAATACAGCTATTAATTGCTACAAAGACGAATTCTGTTTCCAAAAGAAATATTTGTGGGTTTTTCGTCAAGGTCATGTTGTGGCTCACCAAAAAGTGCTTTAAAAAAAATTCAGATTTTGACTAACTAGACGGTTTGTCTAGATTAAGTGTGATATAAATTCAGTTCTTGTGCTATTGTCGATGAATCCGAATAATGTAGGTTGACTGATACCAACCTATTGTGGAACCAATTCGCAGAAACAAAGTTCCCACGGAGCCATTTTACATCCGTGCCCGTCGTTAGCAATGGCTCTATTATGAGGTAACCTATCTTAGCATTCGATCTAGTGCTCTCTGTGTGTGTGTGTTTGATGAGGTGTGGAAGAAAGAGGAGATGTGGTCCTTTTTTGCCAGGGATCCAGTCAAAGACTTTGCTTATGAAATTCTGCCAGACACCCAAGAAAAGTGTGGAATATGGACTCTACATCGGGGAAAACGAAAGGTAAAAGAGGCAGACTACTACTGATCGATTCTCCGCTAACGGTTAGCATTGACTTAGCTCGCTTCGCTATGGAGGCCGGCCTGTCTATCAGCTATCCGTCCAGCTAACATTAACACTTTCATCCAGCCTTTAGACGCGCTGTTCGGTGATATATTGAGGTGGTTACATATCATGCTTGTCAGATTATTTTTGATCTTTCTCGCCGATTAAACGTCATCGTTGATTTAAATGTTCTGGTTGTATCGTTAGTTCTCGCTAACGCTTTGTTTACTCCGAGAGACAGACACGTATTTCTCGCCACGTCACCCTGTTTTAGCCAAGTTAACAAATATTAGCGGTTCTTCGAATCGTTTTTACGTCAATGCTTAATCACATTAATAAAGGTTTCGCTCCTCATTGCTGACAGCACCTCACACAACCCACAGTCTTTATTATTAACGTACACAAGCTGAATCTAGACTGTTAGTGTCGTCCTCTTCAGTGCATGGTCACATTATGGCAAACAGTTGCTTCCTGTTTTCCTTATCCTTAGTGATATTCATTTTAACTTTTTCTTACTTCTTCTCTGAAATGACGTGTTATTATCATAGGATTGTATTTGATTTTACAACTGCTGTTTGATTCAGCTACAAAGCATAGATGTTGTTGTAGTAGTAATTTAAGTCATACATGTCATTTAGGTGAGTGAGTGATTTAATCTGAACCTGTCTCCTCAGACCAGTGGAGAGTCGGTGTCTGTGTTTGTGTACGAGGTCGCACAGGGATCAGAACAGCAGACACAGCTGGCCAAGGCTGCCTTCAAGCGTATGAAGACCCTGCGTCACCCTAACATCCTGGCCTATGTTGATGGACTAGAGGTATATGTTTTGTGAGTTAATTTGCACCCACTGTCATTAGTTTAGTAAACTGCCATTGCCTATAACGCTGAGAGGAAAACATCTTTGAGCCTTTTTAGTGAAATGTTCGGTAGCTTTCTTTTGACATTGTCTCATCTCCACAATCTGATCTGCTTTGTTTTGCATGATTACTTGCAGACAGAGGTCAGTGTGAATATACCATTGTAGGATTTTATTATATGGTAGTCATTTTCAGTATTGTGCTGTATAATGTCACCAAAATGTAAAGTTTTCTCAGTTTTTGTGCATATCAAGAATATAATTTCCTGTGCCAATGAGGTTATGTTTTTACCAGTGTTTGTTGGTTGGTTGTTCACAGCATAACTCAAAAAGTAATGAGTAGTTTTTTGTTAAATTCTTTAGTGAGACAGGGTATGGCCCATGGTTGTTTTATGAAATTTTGATGCTGATCTGGATCATCATCTGAATCCAAGAATTTTTTAAAGGATTCTTAATTATTGTGAGATGGGGCCAATAAGACTCATGGAAAACCTACAAGTGTGAGACAAGAAATAACGCTACAGACTTGCAACTAACATCCAACTGTAGATGAAACTCTGCTGATCCAGTAGAGGGTTAATGGCTACATCTCGAAGAAAGTCACCATTACTGAAATATGGTTTTTCTTGAATAGCTTTCAAACTAATAATGATGTCAGTGTGATTCCAAATGCCAGCAATAGGTTTTCATGGTCAAGGAATCATATTACGAGGATCAAACTATCATGATAATATTGATTTTAGGTTTAATGGTATAATGGGGAAACTGAGCTGCCTTGGTGGAGGTGTGTGTTCTGTGAGTTAGATCATAGATTAAATTAGATTGTACAGTAGTTTATAATACCTCAACTATTAATCAATTTGTGCTGTACTATTAGTGTACTATTATACATGTTTAATTGGAGCATCTTTAACACTATCAAGCAATGTAATAGGTGACTGCTAGCAAAGCCTTGTGCATTAATTGTCTCCCCCTTTGTGTGTTTTGGTTGCATGTTCACAAATCTGCTGATGCCTACCCCTGATCACACTGAAACTGAGCAACAACTGGGAAGTTGTCCAACTCATTGCACTCTATTTTTTTTCTTACTGTAAAGCCCCTTTAAATTAGTTTGTACCAAGCTGTATTGTCTTTTCACTTGCTTTAGCTGAGTAGTCCTGGTAATAGTTTAGTATTCACTTTTGTTGCTTTATAATAGAAATCTGTGATCAAACTATACTGTTTACTTTGAAATACTGTTAAGTCATGTAAATGGAGAATTAACAGAAGAGTAATAGCCCAAATATTCTGGTCGTTACAGACTGAGAAGAGCCTGTACCTGGTGACTGAGCAGGTGACCCCTCTGGCAGTCCACCTGAAGGCCCAGGCAGAGAGAGGTGGATCTGGGGAACTGGAGATCTCATGGGGATTGCATCAGATAGTGGTAAGGGCCAGACAGTATCTGAGAAGTTCCTGGGTGCCTTAAATTTGCCATTTGTATCAGCTATTCTTGGTATACCTTCTCTTGCCGTCTAGCTGTTTATTTGTGCTGTTTGCCTCCCCCTACAGAAAGCACTGAGTTTTCTGATCAACGACTGCCACCTGCTCCATAACAACTTGGGCGTATGGGCTGTTTTTGTGGATCGAGCTGGAGAGTGGAAGCTAGGAGCCCTTGATCATGTGACCCCTGAGGAGGGTGACCCAACTGGGGTGTCACTCCCTGCCCCAAAGGCTGTTTACCCAGACATGGAGAAATATGACCCACCAGAGATATCCAGCAGCAGTGGAGAGACATGGTAAGAAAAGGATGTAAAGAACACAAACTGAGAAAAGCTAGTCAGAATAATAACAGGAAGTTATACAGGGAGTGAAGAGGAGCAGCTTTAAGAATATCTACAGAAAGTGCAGAAATGACAGACTGGAATATATAAAGTGATGGTGAGATCATATTAAACCTGGCCCTGGCTATTGCCTACTTTGTTACAGGGCAGGGGAGGTGTGGAGACTAGGCTGCCTGATCTGGGAAGTGTTCAATGGGCCGTTACCTCGCACTTCCTCCCTCCGTTCACTGGGAAAGGTTTGTATTCTCCATTGTTCCTTTGCGTAATTACCATTGATTCCACGATGTTGGATTTCATGTGTGGCGATGTCAGAGGAACCACTGTTATTTAACATTAGCTAAAAATGGGGAATAACTGAAAATAGAAGTATGCAAGGGGGCATATATACAGGGGCTGTAAATTAGATACTTGTATTTTTGCTAAGTTGCCTTCAAGCAATTATACTTCATAGGTCCACTGACATCCAAATATTTGTTTGAGACGTGGGGACGCCTTCTTCACACTTATTTTCTCTCTCTCATCCCCCCTGTGCTCACAGATCCCGAAGTCCCTGGTCCCTCATTACTGTGAGTTGGTGGGTGCCAACTCTCGGGCTCGGCCAAACCCAGCCCGCTTTCTCCAGAAATGTAGAGCCCCTGGGGGATTCCTCAACAACAGCTTTGTGGAAAGCAACCTTTTCCTGGAGGAGATCCAGGTACACAGACTCGTAGACACAGTGGCATCTAACTATGGTGTTTATGTTAGAGCCACAGTCAGTTCCTGCTACTGGTCACAGCCTTAAGTTTTAAGTATCAAGATAGAGATTGATGCATTTTTGTTGAAGAATTTTGGGTGTAGATGGTTTAATTTGCTGTCTCACAGCATTGGAAACTATACTGTACTACAGTCTCTAGTATTTATTCTGTTCATGGTTGTTGAGACACTTTTTTAACTGTGAAACTCAAGTCTTAATGGTGCAGCATAGAAAATATTATAGTGTATAATATATTATATAATAACTACAATTTAAACTATCCATAAAATGGCCCTCTCTAGATCAAGGAGCCAGCTGAGAAGCAGCAGTTCTTCCAGGATCTGAGTGACAATCTGGACTCCTTCCCAGAAGACTTCTGTAAACACAAGGTCCTGCCTCAGCTGCTCACTGCATTTGAGTTTGGCAATGCAGGTGCTGTTGTCCTCACACCACTCTTCAAGGTAGGTCCTTACAGCCCATGGAAACTTTCACATGTCATTAAATATCAGATCATCATTTTCCTAATAAAAACAAAACTATTTTCAAAACAAAGTCGAGGTAAGACATGGTTTTTCTGGTGTTAATACCTCAGTGCTGATGTCATCTGCTTCTGTCTGTGTGCCAGGTTGGGAAGTTCCTGTCTGCAGAGGAGTACCAAACGAAGATCATCCCTGTTATCGTGAAGATGTTTTCCTCCACAGACCGAGCCATGAGGATACGACTTCTGCAGCAGGTATGTAAGCCTAGTTCACCTGGCTATGGAGAATCTCCTTCAGTGATTCAGTGGGCATATTAGTTGTATTTTAATTTAATTTAAATTTTCCTCCAGCACCATGTTTTGCAGCAGCTACTTTAGTACCAGGAAAGAAAAACATCAGTTCAATTTTACATTGTTTCTTCTGTCTCTCTCTGTCTTAGATGGAGCAGTTCATTCAGTATCTGAATGAGCCAGCGGTCAACTCCCAGATTTTCCCTCATGTTGTTCATGGCTTCACAGACACCAACCCTGCTATCAGAGAACAGACTGTTAAGGTAGATTGTGCCCTTAAACATCACCACAAACCAGGAGGTGTTATTACATATTACTGATGGATGTTTACAGCTTGTTTTAGCTATAACCCTTCTCTGTTGTCCCCATTCCCCTCCAGTCTATGTTGCTACTGGCTCCCAAGCTGAATGAGACCAACCTGAACCAGGAGCTGATGCGTCACTTTGCCCGGCTGCAGGCCAGAGACGAACAAGGCCCGATCCGGTGCAACACCACTGTCTGCCTGGGAAAGATAGCCTCCTACCTCAATGCAGGGGTAAAGCACAGCCACACTACTGTGTAACACTTCATCCATTTATTTTAAGGCAAGCTTAAACCAAAGTTCAGTAAAGAATGTTTGAATGGAAGAATCTGGTTATCCATCTTTTCACAGACTCGACAGCGTGTTCTGATTTCTGCCTTCTCACGAGCCACTAAAGACCCCTTCCCAGCTTCACGTTCCGCTGGTGTCTTGGGCTTTGCCGCAACACACAACTACTACAGTGTGATGGAGATCGCTGCCCGCATCCTGCCCACCCTCTGTGCCATTACTGTCGACCCCGATAAGAGTGTCAGAGACCAGGTACAAACAACTGATAAAGATTTATGAGTACATGGTGCGTGTAATTTCTCAGTATTCAATGTAACTACCTCAGGAGTATTTTGACTATTTATCAGCTAAGAAATTGGACTGGATCCAAAATAATAACATTTAACCTCTGTACAGGGTAGATCTTTTTTTGTTGTTGTTGTCATCACTGATGCTAGTGTATGTTCTGTTCAGCATGTGCTCCTCTATCTTTCTCTTTGTCAGGCATTCAAAGCTATCAAGAGTTTCCTTTCCAAACTTGAGACTGTTTCAGAAGACCCCACCAAGCTGGCTGATATAGGCATGTAACACACCACCGATGAGCAAAGTCTCTCCTCGACAGTCATGTCTCAGTCAGGAAACCAGTTTTATATGTTACATATTTGTTTACATATCTTGCTCAATGTTGAGAGAAAAGAAAAATACTTCTTCAGCTGGCTCAAGTAGAGCAGATGCTGTTAAATTTCTGAAAGTCTGAAAATAAAAACTTAGAATTCTCTCTCCTGTCCATCCTACAGAAAAGGATGTGGCAGCATCCGCACAGCCTGCAGGTGCCTCTTCCAGCTGGGCTGGCTGGGCTGTGACTGGCGTGTCCTCCCTAACTTCTAAGCTGATTCGCAACGCTCCAGGGACAGAGGGGGGTGCAGCAGCTGAGGGCAGCGGGCCTTCCAACTCTGCGAGTTCTACTAGTGCCACCGATGCAACACCTGCACCTGGTAGGGTTATCAGATTGGATTCATGTCATGGACAAAACAATGTTTTCACTTTGGTCTGAAATTCAAATCCAGGTGTCATATCCTATGAATCCCAAGATGGGATGTCTGAAACCTTGTATTTTTTTTCCCTATCACAGGTTCTGAAGATAAAACTCCACAAGCCTCCCTGACTCACCATGGTGCCTCTAGTCGCGCCAACCCATCACAGCCTCTTGAAGTGACGGACAATGATGATGAGCCAGTTGGAGACCGCTGGGATGACGAGGAGGACTGGGGAAGTTTGGAGGTAGGTTTTCACCACTTTGGACTGTATGACAATATTATTGGCTATAAATGAGACACATGTTTGTTAGTTTAATAAGGATTCATAATTGTAATGTCAAGTCTCATAATTAATGCCTTTTCCTGAAAGGAGCCAGACAAGGCTCACACAGAGACGGATGACTGGAACACTGACTGGTCAGGAATGGCATCATCCAAAAAGAAGGCCAGTGACAGAGTAAGAGCCCTTTCATTTCAGTTAAACTGTAATGCCTTCAGTGCTTATAATATTACTGTTAACGCTGCTAACACTACTGATGTTATTGGCACTGTCAGTGAAAATTAGAAAAGTCCTAATACCATTATTTCTACTACTATGTTGTGTAGGCTTCAGTACTCACTGAAAGGGTTCCTGTGTAACATGTATAGTTTTGAAAACAAAAGGAATTTTCTACACTTTTTAAAAATTTGGGATCTCATTTCACAATGTTGCTCAGTTGTACTTGCTTTATTAAAGGTGCTTTGTGCTTAGACTGCAATCGGGTAAACTTCATGAATCCATCCAGATGTCATTCATAAATTGAGAACATGTGATCAGTGGGACAGGGGATTCATCTGGTTTTCATTCATCTTCATTTCAGTCTCATATTATCGCCCTAATATCTAGGTGGGCCGGTCGTCGTCCTCCATAGCGGTGAAAAAGCAGAGCTCTGACTGGAGCAGCTCAGGCTGGGACGCTGACGACAGCTGGTCCAATGAGAAAGAAGGCCAGGGTCAGAGCTCTGCCGGCGAGGATGGCTGGGGCAACGACTGGGGAGAGGAGGAGTCGGACACAGCCTCTGTCAAGAAGACACTCCCCCTGCCCGAAGGGGTGCGATTAACCAGCGAGTACAACTGGGAAAGCGGAAGCACGGCGAAGGGGGCCAGTCAGAATGAACTGTTCGCCAGTGTATCCCAAAGAAACACAGCCAGTTCTGCTGTATCTATGGTGAGGACGTTGATTGGATTTGAAAGAAGCAGATTGTCAAAGGTTGTGAATCCTGAAAGTGTAGGGTGTGTGTACCACATGACAACTAAACCTTTTAATTAATATGGGTAATATGCTTCATCCTTCATGATTTGTTTGTGCAGATTTAAACAGTTCCAAGCCGTTAGGTTACCATCAGATTTACAAAATGGAGGTAGGTGGATGTAGGAGGAGGTGATAGTGTCATCAATTGGCACCTTAAGAAAAGGCAAGTGGTTGCTAAAACATTAAAGATTAGGTGTGAGGTGAGGGAGGTAGTCTTTACAGTACAAGGAGTTTATTGTAGTTGTGTGTTCTTGTGTTTTCTCGTCAGGCAGGAGATGTCTGGGGAGGCGAAGCAATGGGAGACTGGGGAACCGAGGAGAGCTGGGAGTCACTGGATGGAAACCAGGGTAAGTCTCCCAACTGGGCTCCCTCATCAGAAACGAAAAAATAGAGGTAAAAATAAACAAGGAGAGCAAAAGCGGTGACAGGGTTCAGTGGAGTGACAAGGGTGTTTCAAACCCATTGGAGATTTCTGGAGAAGCTTCTGTCTGTGCCAAGTGCAGCTGAGCACCTTTTGTTGAAATTGGGAGATTTGTTGTCATTCTTGTACACCAATAGCTCACGTTCAGTTAAGTCTGCACATATGTGGCAGCTTATGACCTCAGTGGTGTTCACACGAGAGTCGGATGCATGTCACAGACATGAATGTGAACCAGTAACACAAAAAAAGATTGTCGCTAACAAAAAAAATTGGGCCTGTGTCAAAAGAATTTACAAAGAAGCAATGAAGTCACTGGAATCTTTCAATAAGAGATTGGTTTACTTGCAGCAAGGAGACAAGTCAGCATGAGCATACAGAGTTGTCTGAATGAGCTTAGTCTAAACATCACAATATATAACAGAAAGGGAACTCCCTGACCAGGCGTCAGTCAATGTGTAAAGTAGATTTAAAACAACAAAATGAAGTTGAAGGGGGTTTATGGCAGGAACAGTTTATAGCTGGCTTCCTTTAAGTCTGGAGCGCCATTTGGTTGAACAACACACAAAGTACTAAAACAAAGATGAAACATGTCCTTCAGTTCATACAGGCAGTGTCTCACAGGTCCCTGTGGTCTGTTCTGAAAGTTTAAAATCCTTTGTATAACATGTGTTGGTTAATGTATTGATTAGAACACAGTTTAAAACATACTTAATAATGTCATTTTCATGACAGCCTGTAATATGAATATAGCCTAATCTTCAGATATTCTTAGATGACCATTAGTTAACTTAGTGTCTGCCTGTGCATTGAACTGTATGTCTTTATTGCTGCCCAGGTCTCAGCAAGGCTGAACTGTCCAAGAAAAAACGGGAGGAGAGGAGGAAAGAGCTGGAGGCGAAACGGGCAGAGCGCAAAGCTGCCAAAGCTCCTCTCAAACTGGGCGCACGTAAGATGGACTGACAGGGATGCAAATAGAGAGAGATGAGGGTGGGAATGGAGAGGGAGGAACCACAGTGACTGGACCCAGAGCAACAGATAGAGGTCTGACATTCCACAAGTAAAGGACCAGAGAAGTGTTAATGGTGGAAAAAAAATACTGTGAACAGTTGCTAGAATGGGGGTGGCTTGTTGGTTAAGCAGAGGAAAATGTTCTTCTGCTCAGTCCACGACTTTCAGCCTTTAAATGAAAAAGCCACAGTCCAGGACTTTATGAATGAATCGTTGTGGATGGAAGAAATGAGGGGACACAGGAGTGGAACAGAAAACCCAAAGACATAAAGCGGCACAGAGCTGCGCTCCCCGCAGCAGAGGCCTGAGCTGATTAGACAAAATATCCTGATGGTTGTTGTTTTTTTTTTTTTATTCATAGCTCATAAACTTGCAGTTGTAAAGATGTATATAAATGGTGCAGTGTTTTAAAATGACATGAAGAAATGATTTTTTTTTTAATGGAGAAAGAGTATATATAACAGAAGGTATTTCAGAATCAAACATGATTTTGGTGTACACACACACAGTGGATATGACTGTTTCAGTTCAGCTGTCACTTACTTGTAGATTTACCTAAAATCAATCCATGCATGCACTTGTGTATTTGTGTGGTCTAACAAAAGGTTCCATGGCAAGAAATTACATGTGGGGTTACTTTGCACATAAATACAACACTGTATTCTACTAAACTGGCCTGAGAACCAATATTTCAAATCTATAAATGAGAAACTCATAGTGGAGCAGCTCAGCCGCACAAGGACATTAATTTGAAGCTGTTGTTAGGTAATTTCTTAGTTAGATAAATATGGATTAGAGATCTGTTGTATTAGAAGATGTTAGTGCAGCCAGGATGTCTTCCTCAGGCTGTTAAATGCAAGGTTAGTTAAAAAGCAGAGAAAGGCTCAAGTCAGGGACAAATGTTATTATGACGGTAAAAGTAACCATAATATTTGTCTTAATGTGTAATGTTATGTCAAATTGTTTTAGATACACACCACGAAAACAACAGCCACACACATTATTTTCTTCATGTTTTGTCTACTGCTCTGCTCAGCTGCCAAGCTGGCATATCAGGTGACGTCACGGTTCGACAGCCCAGAAATGATTAATAATGTATAGCAATGCGTGGTTCGGGGTCTTTCTGCTTCCGGGCTGCTTTGGCAGGCTGGGGGTTGGAAGATCTCTGGACTGGAAGTGTGGATTCTTGCCTGTGACTTTTTGAATAAACCAGC